CAGCCTTTTGCAGACGGAGACTGAAAGGCGCTGGGCTGGCAGTGGGCCCCCTGTGTTTGCTACTGGCGGGATCATGGGCCAGGCCCCCATGGATCCTCACACGGAGGCCGCCGAAGGCTCTTCCCCTCTTCTCCTCACTCTGGGGAGAGCTCAGCCTTGGAAAACCGCTGGGAGCTCCCCGGGCAAGAGAAGTGCCCCCCAGCTCTCTGCGGCCACACGTTTTCCACCTGACGCCGAGAGGTCGGAGACCCTGTAAGCTACAGCGATCCCCAAGCAGAAGACTATGGGGGGAGGCGGTCTGAGAGGTGGCCCCCTTTCGCCCCTTCGGTGGGGCCCCAGAGGGGCAGCAGAAAGCTCCATACCTGCAACAGGTTGTAGCGCTGGGCATCACAGAAGTCCCTCATTCCAATCTCACAGCCCACGTACCAGCCGCTGAAGGGGGCTGCAGGAAACTCCAGCCCCCCAATCTCCAGCAGCATGTTGGCCACAGCCGGGAGGGCGTACCAGCGAAGGCCCAGGTCCTCAAACCATGGCAGCCTAGAGCAGACATGGGAGCAAGCGGCTGAGGGGGACAGGCAGTGCCCAGGGCCTCCCCAGCACTCACTACACCGTGGAGGTCCTGCTGGGGGCGGGAATCACAGTCCCAGGAAGCTTCTCTTGTGCGAGACCCACGTGAGGGGCAGAAGAGCTTTGTGGCCCCGGTACTTGAATGGCTTTCCCCGGACTGGTGCCCTTGGCCCCAGCCCTGTCCTCTCCAGCGGGCCCGCCCCTGGCTGTGCAGGAGGGAGCGGGCGATTCCACCCCACAGATCTCTAGTGAGTTGGGCAAGGGCCCCAAGAGCTCTACTGGTCTATGTGGGTTGCCCTGCATCCTCTTGTTGAAAGGGCTCTCGGGCTCCTCTGAGGCCCCAGCAATCACTGTAGCCCCCTTCCTGGCACACAGCTGCAGTCCCCTGTACTTACGTGGGGTGCGTGATGGGCACCTCCAGCACCAGTTCGGCAGGCAGGATGAAGAGCTCCGGGTCCTCATCGGGAGCCTGCAGCAGCAGCGGGAGCACGTCGAAGCGGCCGTAGGGGGGGCGCCAGCCATACTGGATGCAGAGCTGGGGGCAGAGAGGGCAGCCATCGGGAAGGGGAAGAGGCCGCCGGAGTTGGCCCAGCTGATCCTCGGCTCACCTCGCCTGCTTTGGCAGCAGAGTCCTGAGGCCCCCACCGGCCACCCACGGAGAGCTGGCTTGTCAGTTTTCCGAAGTGGGAATTAGGGCTGGGGGGTGAGGCTGCCCCACCACCACCTCCCCTTTGTGGAGCTGGGTTGGAGGCTCCAGGACACTTCCTGGGCCTGGGCCTTGGCAGTGCCCAGCAGGGAGCTCCCCCGGCGCCCCCTTCACTCAGGGCCCAATGCAGAGGGAGGAGAGCCAGCTGCAGGGGGCGTGGGGGGCATTCTTCCACATAAGTTAAAGGATCCATTTTCAGTATTTTACTTGATTTATTCCCTGTGCCAGGCCTGCTCCAAGGGACAGGAGAGCCCCAGTGGCGGGAGGCATCTCAAGGGCGGAGGCTTGCCAGGAGGATGGACTGCTGCTCACCTCGGTGATCTCCACATTGGCCGGGTCTCCCAAGATGGTGCCATCGGGCTGCTTATAGCCGGCGTAGCGAATGAGCTGCTGGTTCCAGATGCGGAAGTCCCCACGCCCTGCCACCCGTGGGGGAAAGATGGTGATGGCTGACCTGGCAGAAGGAAGCGAGCGGGGAACCTCAGGATTCGCCAGTGGGCCCTTCCACCAGCGGCCCCGAGCCCCCACCTGCAGGGCTCACCGGAGGTTGCCACGGTTGGTTGCGTAGTTGATGTGGGTACACACGAAGGTGAACATTTCCTGGGCACTGGTGATGTCCCGGGCATCAAACACCTGGAGGAAATGAGGGTCAAAGTGGGCGCAGAGGCTGCCCCTGGCCCTTGCCAGCCTTCCCACTTGCTCGCCTTTCTTGAGGCTGGGCTGCCAAGGAGGAAGTGGGCAGCCAGCACGTCCCGGCCTAGGAAGTTGCCTGTGGAGGAGGGGCTGCACGGGTGGGGAGGTGGCTACACCCCACAGCCTTCAGGACTGCCCCAAAGGCTGGGGACCCACCCAAGAGGGCTGCTGAGAAAGGGAAGGGAGGCTCTCTCTGACAGGGCTGGGGCAAGATGGCCAGAACCCCTGAGCCTGGCACCCCTCAGAGATCTCCATCGGGAACTGCCCACCGTCTGGAACACGGGAGCCTTCATCGCGCTACGTCTGGGGGCAGCCAAGGGTGTTCCCAGGGTGAGCCTGGGTGGTGGTGGTGGTGGCTCTGCCTGCGCTCTGCGGGAGCTGTGCTGGCAGCCCCGGGGCGGGATCAGAGGACGTGGCTCCCGGCCCCCAACGCACCTGCAGCTTGTTCCACTGGATCCGGCCCAGGCAGCGTGCGGCGTTGCGCCAGGCGTGTTTGGCTCCGAAGACCAGCTCAGCCTCCAGCAGCTGGTAGGAGCCAGTGTTGGCAATCTGCCGCTCCACCTCCTGGAGGCGCTGGCGGTGGGCCTGGGACTGGGCGCTGGGGAGAACAACAGGCTCGGTCATTGGACGGATGCTCGAGGTCGCCCGGGCCTGCCCCGGAACCCACAGGGGCTTCCAGCGTGGAGGGCTCCTCGCCTGCAGGGCGTTTCCCCTGCATCCTCGGCTCAGGGAAGAAGGGCGGCCCGGGCTGGGTGCCCCTCCTGCCTGAGCCGGGCCCTCAGGGGCTGCTCCTTACCCACTTCCAAGGCAAGGCCCAGGAGGCCAACGGAACCAGCTGATCCTGTCCCTGCCAGGAGGGCGAGGGGAGCTGGGCAGGCTGGGGGAGTCCAAGGACCCACGGGCAGCGGCCTGGGGACGCCGAACCAGGCCGGAAAGCAGCTGCAAGGCTGGAGGCCGAGGGAGCGCATCTGGGGAAGATCAGTCCCACCCACCGGCCCACTCCTCTTTCGGCTTCCTCTGATATTGTAGTAACCTGCCCTGAACGGTTCTCCTCATCCATGAACCGAATCAGCCACGGCGTCTCCTCTGGGAGACAGCGGGTCACAGCCACTCTTGCTCCCAGGCATCGTGGACTCCCAGCCTAGACTCCCCAGATCGTTTCGGGGAGCCCAGGAATCCTAGCCTGGACACTGCAGAAGGAGGAGGTGCCAGCTGCTTGCCAGCTGCTGGGCAAGAAGAAGACACCCCAGTTCTCCTGTCTGCTGGAGACAGATGGGCGTGGGCTCACCGCTCCCCCAGCTAAGTGCATCCTGGCTGCAGGACTGGCCAAGGGCTCAGAAGGGGCACCCCCTCCCCACAGACCTCTCTCCTTCTATGTTCGGGGGCAAGGCACCGGGCCCAGAAGCTGCCAATGCCCCCCAGGACAAATGCAGAGGCTGGGGAAGGGGCTGTCCTGGTGGGCACAATCCTAGGAGGACCACTGGCTGTGCAGGACCTCGAGAGGCCGAAGCCTGGGGCCAGCCCTCCTCAGGGCTCTGTGGCACAGAGAAGCTCAGATTGGCAGCGGGGGCTAGAGTTCAGCCTCCCGCAGCGGTGGGGGCGATGGGCTACAGAGCTCTGTGCTGTGAACCATTCATTACTCATTTATGTTTCCATCCACGGTGCGATAACATTTCTTCAGAGCCAGGCCAGAATGTTTTTGCAAGGGGAGGAGAGGGGCGCCGAAAGACCACGCGAGACATCCGAGGCTGGAGGGGGCCGGAAGAGATGGCTGCAGGAGGAAAGGGCCTCTGATAAGGCCCAGAACAAGGGAGTGGCCACAGCAGAGCTGGGCTGGGGCCGAGGCATTCATGCTCCAGGCAGCGGCTGAGCAGGGCAGGGGGCCCGGAGCAGCTGAGGGCCCAAACCCGGGCAGCCTCCTTGCCCCCTGGCCGAGGTTCACGGGCTTCAGGAGGCCTTGTCTGTTGCTCAGGACCCAGCTGTAGGAGGAGGGCCCCCGGGTGGGGCGATGCAGCCTTTCCCCCGGGGAGTTCCGCTCTGGGCACACACCCCACAGCCCAAGAGCCCTCAGCCTCCTCCTGGATCAGGGCTGGCTGCTGACTCATGACTCCCCCACCCTGTAGGCGCAGAGGAAGAGGACGGTGTTGCGCGTGCAACCGGGGTGCGATGATCCTGGCCACCTGGCGCTGCTGCAGCCCTGCTGGAAGGGGGGATTCGTTGCTCCTGGCGGGGCAAGGACTGGAGGATGAAGCCCCAAGGTCAGCCCTGGCAGCGGGGATGGCCGGTTGGCACCAGTTCCGGAACCAGCAGAAGATCCTTTCTGTACTCCCCCCCCCATTTCTGTGGGTGAAGCCACAGCCCAGGAGGTGGACGGGGTGGTGGTGAGGGCAGGGCTGTGGCGAGAGTCGGCGCGGGGGAAGCCTTGGGCTTCCAGAGACGGACTCACCGTTTCATGGAGCTGTAGTAGAGGTCGATGAACTCCTGAGCCAGGGAAAGCAGCGCTGCCTCGGAGTGGGGCCCCTCTGGCCCAGCAAGCATTTGCTTGGGGAGCATGGTGGAGCCTAGGCAGCGCTTCCCGTTGCAGGGCACCTCCTGGAAGGGCAAGCGAGTCTCCGTAGGGGCGAAGAGGGCAGGCCTGCCCTCGACCTGTTGCCACCTGCGGGGTCCGCCTGGAACGGGGGCAGCAGCCGCAGCAGCGCCGAAAAGCTGCTCCAGGGCCCCTGCCTGCCTCCAGAGCTGACCGTCCCTCCCTCCCCGCCTCCGACTGGGCCCCTCCCACGGCGACAGGTACCCCTCACCTGTCTGGCCTGGGCGCTGAGCGTGTCATACAAGATGCTGCCTGTCTGCCAATTCTTGATCCTGGAATACCGGGGCGGGTCTGCGGGGCGCTCAGCCGGCAAGCTGGGGGGATATGAGGACAGGTCAGTCCAATGAGCCCCCGTGCTGGTGAGCTTCCCGAGGGGGGGACAGCTGCGGCCCTGTCCAGCCCCTGAGCGGCCCCAGTGGGAGACTGGCCCCTGGCTGGGGGCCCCAGCAGCGACCTTGCCTTCCCACCCCCAAGGCCCGCATCAAGGCCTTGGTCCCATGCTGGCATGAAGGTGGGGGGAGGGGGCCAGGAGCCCCAGCAGGCCCCAAGGGCATGTGGGCGCCTTTGGGCAAGGAGACCCCCAACTGAGTCGCTGGAGAGCCAAGGAGCCCTGGCCAGGCACTTCTCTTTCTAAGGGGGCTCAGTCTCTCCCAGGGCTGGGGAGCACATCTGTGCATGGCCCTGGGTGCTCCAGGAGTGGGTGGGGCACGGCCTGCTGGCCCAGGGCAGGGTCCCTGCCCAGGCCAACCCTGCTTGGAAGGCGTGAGCCTCGGAAGCCTGAGCAGGGCCCCTTCCCCACTGCAGTCCCTGGGCACGGTTGACCAGGGGCACCTCCCCCCCCACCTGGGCGAGGTGGACTGCCCGGGAGGCGCTTCTTCATTTGGGCAACACCAAAG